AGCTATCATACGTGTTCAACACCACTTGCCACCTTTACTCTATTTATATAAAATATAAAGAATATATATTAAAAAATAAACACTTTTTTGGTCATATCTAGGGCACCAAGTCTTAAAAATAAAGGCATCTATGGTTCCATTAATAACCTTTAACATCCACGGAACTTTCCATTGCATAGAATGTTCTTTATAGTGGAAAAGGTTCCTTGGAATATTAAAATATTCACTACACTAAGAAAAAAAAAACAGTTCTCTTAAGAACTGATCTCTTAAAATTCTTTAGGGAGTCCAAAATGTTTTTTATGGCCATAAAAAATCATGCTGCTGCTGTTTTACAAGAACAGCAGTTCAGTGGTTGTTTGATTACCTGCTGTGGACTCTTGAGGGTAAGGCTCTATGAATTGCTACTCCTAGACGTGGCAGGTCTCTCTTCTCCAGATCCTCAGTATTAGGCCACAGAACCTCAGGCTCTGTGTCCTGTCCCTCCTGCTCATTTACTGGAGTCATTGCCCTCAGGAGCTCTATCATCTAACAGCACACACACACAAACACAAACACAAACACACACACACACACACACACACACAGTAGTTAAGGGTAGTCCAATATTCCATAAACAAAAACAGCTGAATGAGCAATTTCTCATTTTTATGACTACATCGCACTAAAAGTGTCTTCACCTCTCTGACAGTGTGAGCAGCAGTGTGTACAGGCTGACTGTCACCCCACAACTCACACAGCAGCAACAGGCTGACAGACATGCCAAACATCCCCTGCATTATAACTGTAAAGCAGAACACAAATAAAATAGGTTGAAAAAAAACGTCATTTCATAAATAAAATAAATACATAAATTACACGATAAAAGAAAATAGCCAATGAATTAGCTTTTACGCATTAAACAAACACATATATAATATATTAATTATTATATATAATTAATTAAATAGTATAAATTCTAAATTTTAATAGTATAACACATATTGCTTAAAATAAATTCCATAATAAAAATATAAATACAAAAAAAGTATATATATATATATATATATATATACACACACACCCCCCCTACACACACATTTAGATCTACTGCACACACAAATTACAATATAACATATATAACAATATAAATTATTATATACATGTACAAATTGAAAAAATAAACATTTTCAGTTGTTTTAATGTTTTTTAGACATGCATTATATGTACAACGGTATTTTTTCTACAAAACATATGACATAATGATTAGCACAAAGAAGCAAATCAGAACTGAAATAAAGTGAATGATACATAGGCTAACTGTCAAAAATTACAAACACTTTGTTCCTTACCTGAACAGCCTCCAGCAATTCCCAGGTGGTTGTTGTTGTTCAGAACACAGCGCTACACTGAGGTTAAAGTATTGTCTTCACAATTTATATCCTTAGAAGAGTATGACCAATAACCACGTGTTTAGAGTCTAGAGGGTAGTTACCTGGCCCATAAACCCTGCCAGTAACTGACCCCATCACTGTCCCCTGTTCTATTGTCAATAATAAAGCAAAAAATGCCTCTTCAGCACAAGCACAAATGCACACACAGCAGTCATTTCCTGTTAACATAAGCTATTATTCCCACCAAGCATCCACCATTCCTGATCACACAACGTAACTAACCATTACTGTAATCACTGAATTTGAATAGTCTGAGGACAACCAATAATAAAATTAATTTACTGTATGACCTTTCACTAATTCATTATCATTATCATTTGGACCTAAAACTGTCTAATAACTGTCAAAGCATCTTTACGTATATGACAGGATGCAGTGGCCTGCAGTGACCAACAGATGGCCCAACTGAGCCAACAAAACAATTCAAACTGAAATATAATTAAACTAATACAGTTTAAAACATTTTCTTTTAGTTTAGTTTTAAAAAATACACTAAAATAACTTGAAAAACAGGCTTATCTTATGTTTTTCCCCTTTTATTATTTTACAGCAGAGAGAATATAAAGCATTCAGAAAACATCTTTCATATTTTAAGGGCAATTCAAAACATTTTGCATGGCTTCAGCAGCTGAATTCTCTTTTTTAACATATCCATCGATTCAGTGACTCTTTAACATGCACAATTACAAAAATAAATTGCTCAAACCAGGGGGAAGGAAGAAAAAAAAAAAAGGACATTTAAAAAAGGAGAAACAAAAAACAAAACAATAATCAGGGGTCATCAGGAAAGGAGAGGGCTACATAATTGGGAAAGACACAGAAAAAGACAGCTAGAGAGGAGAGGAAAAGTAGATCTAACACTAGTTTAACATGCAAAGTGTAGAGAGCCCCAAGCTTAGCTTGTAATAAAGGCAGGGCCGCTATTTTCTGGGTTTCAAGGGATGAAAACGTGCAGCTCCATGAAGGGTGTCGTATAAGCACTGTCCTTAAACTACTGCATTCTAATCTCACAATACTGGCATTTGCATAAGAGTAAGTCAGCTACGTGTGTCCAACAGATCGCTGTCCCCATTAGGTCTACAGGTCTCCACTTCAAGAATTGCTTATTGCTGTGTCCATGAGTGGTGGGATGTTTCCTAGGGCTCTGTTCCCCCTTTTCTAAAGAATGGATGCTTAGGAAAGGCAGTCTCTGTTCGAAGCCGTTGATGCGACAAACAAAATTGATGAGGTATCTTCTGTGGGCTGAGCTGTGATACCGTTAAAGCTGAGAAGCAGAATTGTCAAAATGAACCCGTATGCGACCAGATGAGGTTATTGTCTGGCGTTTATAATCTACAGCTATTCTTTTAAATGCTTTGAAACGTCTATCTATGACTAGAATAAAGTGATGATGATGTTGATGAATCGATCTGAGCAGCACTTTTTCATTATTGTGATACAGTATATCCACAGCAGTGTGTTTATACAGTGACTATAGGATCCGGAGAAGCTGCACTGAACCGAAACATCCATGCGTATTTACACAAGCATCAGACGCATTCGCGTAGAGTAGACCTGCTCCATTGCAACGGGCTTAATCACTCTTATACAACACCAGTCAGTGCCGCACTTTCGACAAACCGGTTTTTAGGGACCTAAGGTTACGCAAACTCAGCTCACATAGTTGATTAAAAAAAGGTGAACAGCATGACATGTTCAGAATCACAGTAATTTGATCAGGACAGTCTGGCTCGTTTCCCAATAAGCAGCAACTAATTCTCAAGTGACCTGCTCTATCTCCTCCTTTTCTCCAGTTTGGCACCTGAGTTAAGATACAAAAGTGAACCCGTCAGATTCACACCCGAGGTTTCAACTGCACTAGTGCCATGGACACTTTAACGCGGATATGGACACAGTTCTGTGGCGCGTGTTTTCGTATGAGGTACACATGTTTTTTTTTACCTGTTTTTGTGGTTTAGTTGAAAACAGTGGGAATGTAAATGGAAAGTGGAGTGGAACTGAATTCGAAAACGAAACAGGAAGCCAAATTCTATTTGAAAAAAAAAAAAAAGATTCATGCTGCCCCTGTAAATATGAGTAGGCTAGTACTGACAAATTGCCAGGTGTTTTGACTTTTTGTATGGTAAAGTTATGTTTCGAAGCCCTCGGTCTGTTTCAAGTTCTGCAACCCATAAAACCAGCTGCTTTACAGAACAGTATTTCGTCGACAAGTCTACCTGACTACCAAATCTACAAAAATAAGCATGCTTTGGGTGCTTTTTCAGCCACCCGGTTATCTATGTTACCCATGCAAGCATAATAAGACTCGAGTTGCCACCGCAGTGCATCAGCTGACAACCTAAACTGCTACCGGAATGATGAATGCAAGGCAAGAACCAGTCCTCGCCGGTTCATCTGGCAGTTCCAATAGAGGACTGAGCTATGACGAAGCCATAAATTCCTGGTGTGTTAAAATGAAATACACGGAGAAAGCACGGACAAAGAAACAAGTTACGTAACGGAAAATAAAAACGGACAGTTCACTTCTCGCTAATGCCAGTCCATCGCAAACCTCACATGCAGACTGACACGGCTCGCTGGATTTAGAATATGATCAGGCACTTCCAACATAAGCACTCTGAAGAAAACATTTACATATCATTCTCTTGAACAGAGAAGCAAATACAAAATATGACAAAAAGCATTTTGACATGAGGGGAAACTGAAATCTACACATTTTCAGTGCATTAGAACTCATTCTCAAGAGCGCTTTCATACACTTTCTCCTTTTCAAAAGCCACGGCGACACCTGCTGTTAAAAGTAACGTCACTGCAACACCGGTGAAACGGATTGATCTTTGGAGGTCTATCTGGCTGGCCCTTGACGCCAACGTTTTAGCACCAAAAGAATCCCGTTTAAATGCATAACAGGGAACCCAATCTTTCAATCAGTGTAGCAGTGTGGATTTCGAAAGAGGTTCTGTCATTATTTCAGGCAGCTTCTTTACTGTCAATTCACAGGTTTTTTTTTGCACATCTTGTTGAATTAGACTGTCAGAATGTTACACTTAACGCTGCTGTAAGCTCCACTACCTGCATTTATAACAGAAAAACATACTTTACATCATTTCATTGAAATAATACAAAAGTATTCAGACTTATGAAACACAAAACAAACAAATATACAGTACAAAGAAACCAAATGAGATATGTGATCCACTTAAAGATCCTTCCTGAATACACCATCATCCTTGACCGGCTGTGTTGACAGGTCATGCTGCTGAATGCAAGTGAATCTGATCGCGTTTTACCAGGTGATTATCTGTTCAGCAATGATTAACTTCCTTTAAGCAGTAGCATTCACATTACTTGGCACCATTGGCAAAAAGATTCTTGGTAGCCCAAAAAAAACAAACAAACAGATGTAAACATAACCTAATGATCATTTTGCCTTTTCTCCTACCTCTTAAATACAGTATTTTTCACAATTGCAGGAAAGTCATGCTTTAGCAAAATGTTCTTCTCAAGAACATTCAAAGTAAAATAAAATACTCTTATAGTGAAATAATTTTACAGAGCATAGCCACTAATGCTTTTGAACTCTTTTTTTTTTGTATCTTTGTTCGTTTTTGTCATGCACATACAGTAGCTTGACTTTATCCCAGGTATTTACACTATGTACAAACGATACAACCATACTTCTTAGGCATTCAAACAAAACTATACAAATATTCTGATTTTGACGCTAATCTGTTTTGATCCCTTTCAATGAGTAAAATAATATATTTCTAAAATACAATCCCGCTTAGATAAATGTTTTACTTTGCGTACCGGCAACCCTCTTTATGTACAGGAACCGCTCAATTGCCAAAAATATGGATTTGTCTAACCCCAGGTGTGGAGACCCTTCAAAGTATGTCAAAGATATCAAGGCAATGCATGTCATTTTCCTTTAAAGAGCTTAGAAAACCTCTGAAGTTGATTTTCAACTGAACAAAGTGACTGTTTCATTGGATTAACAAAAGAAAACGTTACAAACTTGCCAATAGTAAATGATGGGCAGAGGTGATGACATTTGGTGTCTCCAGTACATTCATGGAGTTAAAAACAAAACAATGAAAAGACTGCGGCCTAGTTTCAAGCATGCATAAGACAAGATCTGCCTGGAGCGATCCACTGCACTGTGATGTCTCGCTAACTTTGAACTGGCAGAATATCATCAATTTGAAAATAGTTGTTTGTTAAAATTGTATGTGTTTTTCACACATCTTTTTAGCAGATCAACATCAGCATTTGACATGTCACCCAAGCCTCGTTTCCCTCTTACATTCGTAAGCGTAAGGGACAGACTGGAAGAAGTTTCTGACGAATTTGTCTGGTTGTGGAGTAAAGCATGTACAAAAACTAATTCATGAATTATTCATCATTTTTGGTAACAATTTTACTCACTAAACACTTCTTTTGAAAACTATGAAATACAGTCGGAACATGTTTCTGTGTCGACTCCATATTTTGTCATCTTCTCTCTTTCTTTCTCACTTCATTTATCTTCTCTTTACAAGCCACTGAAGAGCAGGACTTCCATCCATCCTTTTTTTCCCTTTTTTCAAACAAAACATTTTAATGCTCATCCAAAATGACAAATCAATCCATTAAAAAGTGCAAAAAATGCCATGAAGCAAATGTTGTTTCTCCTTAAACAACGTCCTTAGAGTTTTTGATCCACAGCAGTTGGCTCTTTCCTTCATAAAATAAACATAGAAGGAATAAAGAGATATGAAAAAACGCAGTTGTTTAGTAGCCGAAGTATCAGTCATACAGTAGTAGTAAGAGTTGCAGTGTTCTTGCTATTTTTTTTCCTCTTGTAAAACATCTCTGGTTGAAACAGAAAAACTGAAAGGAAGAGTCTGGAGAGTAATGTCACATTGTGAGGGGGCTCTTCTGGACGCTCTCATGTTCCCTGGCCTTTCTCAATTCTCTCACTCTGAAAAACAACAGGCAGATATTAAGGGACACAGGTTGAACATCTCACATCTCAAGTCATTTTAGCATTTATCTCAGAAGGCAGAGAAGGTCAGATCAAGCCCTGGTTAAAAGTTTAGTTTCTTTCTTGTGTAGAACACAAAAGCAGATTTTCAGCAGAATGTCCAAGCCGCTCATTTCCATACAATGAACCTGAATGGCTGTCCCTGTCATACATTGTATAGAAATAACATAACCTTGACATTCTTAACATTTCTTTTTGTGTTCCAAAGAATAAACAAAAAAGTCATACAGCTTTGGAACAACTTAAAGGTTCATTTTTGGGCAAATTATCCCTTTGAACAGAAAAGAACACTGGTGTGCTTTAAGAAAACCCTTTAAAATCTTTAAATATCCAGCGCAGTGTAAAATTAATTTTTGAGGATTGATTGTTACGACACTTAACCAGTTAAAAGCTGCGTTTGTTTTCTATTTGAATATATTTTAAAACGTAATTTGTTCCTGTGATAGAAAATTTGAATTTTCAGCAGCAATTACTCCAGTGTCACATGATCTTTGAGTAATCATTCTAATATGCTAATTTAGTGCTCAAGAACCATTTCTTCTTGAAAACAGTTGTGCTGCTTAAAATATCTGTCGAATACCGGTAGCGTATAGAATTTAATATAATAATTTTTATAATAATATAATTTGTTTGAAAGAACACTCTTCTGGCCAGTGCTCTATGCACAAGTTCTTCACTGATGATTTGCCCCATTTTCTTCATTGCCTCACCTTGTAAGTTTCTGCACTAAGTAGGACAAATAGGACAAAAAGCTTAAAATAGTCTGCATTTCATTTAATACAAAATCAGTGGAAACCTTCTCATCTCATCGCTTCTGACAAGAAACTAAAGCTGTCTGCTGATTATTCTGTCTACGTCCTTTTGAAACATGTTGCTCAAACATCTGATGAAATACAGGTGACATTTGCACAGGGTAATGCGACCAACTTAGCTTTTATACTATGCTTTCTTTGTATACAGATATCATATCTACTACCAAAGAGTTAAAGAGAGATGGACAGATAGACAGTCAGTTCCCACTGCAGCATGTGCAATAAAACAGGCTTTAGCTGAACTAGTCAGAACCAAACCCAGTTTTCTCTGGGTAACATATTTCCCAGCATGCCTCATGGTCAAAGAGCAAGACTCATTGTCATATATTCATGCAACATCGCTTAGACCAAACAACCTTCTGTTCTTCCGTCTATCTTATCTTTTCCTCTTTACAAATACAGTAAGTAAAGGAAACGTAAATAATCAAGACAGGAGAAAAAGGTGCTTGTTTAATGTAGTGTCTCAGTGGTTAGTGTATAGCACGACACAACCGATATCCTGAGGCCGATCATTTGCTGAGGCCCTTGATCTCAGTCATCTGTGCGTCCAGTTGGTAGCTGTCATGCAAGCAGGCATCAAGCAGTGGTGATGAAGGAGGCAAGAAGGAGCAAAAGGGGATGGGAAGGGGGTCTTTGTGTGCGTGTGACAAGCGAGAGGGAGAGAGATAGAAAAAAAGGGAGACATACTGAATCGCTGAGGCTGCACTCACCCGCTTGAATAGTCTATGGTCCATCAAGGGGCTTTGCATTAACAGCAAAACAACACCAGACAGCTATTAGCACACAGCAGATATCATGATGGAGAAGGAGGGTGAGGAAAAAGAGCCAAGGGAAGGGAGGAGCACCTCTCACTAAACCACTCATGATTAATGAATCACACTTTCAAGGATAAAAAAATAAGTTCCATTATAACTAAATAAAATCGAAAATATGGGAAGTGTCACATTTGTAGTTGTATCAGCAGTGTTTCAGGTAGCGGATGAATGGGATGGCCAGTAGGGGGCGATGTGGCGGTGGGAGAATACCTGTGGCGGCAGCGGCGGAGGAACCTCATGATCTTGCGGGCGGCCTGATCCTGCCTCTTAGTTAGAAGACTGCTTCTGAAACAGAAACATCACTCTTAAACACATTTAATTTTGCACATTACATCTAGTACATGAATAAAATATCTCGCAGGGCAAAGCTCAGAACAGTATGCCACTTGGAACAGATTCATAAGAGCTATTGGCTGAGTACAGAAGATCAAACGCCAGTTGGAATCAGATTTGGACTGAATTTACGAGGCAGTGATTTATCACAGGGCAGTCTAGTGAGTGCTACCTGAGTTTGTGCTGGACCAGAGCGGCGGTGGCCGCTCTGCGGTGAGGCCTCAGCCGGCCGAACACTCTGTAGCTGCGGTAGCACTGCTGGATCAGCACGGCCGCCCGCCGGCTCTGCTGGAACTTCTTCTGCTCGTGGTAGCTGCGGAACCTACTCTGGATAAGGATGGCGGCCTGCGTCATCTTCTTATAAAGTGCATACTGATACATAAACACATTAATGAAGATATTAATGACAAAAATGTAATTGCTCCCTATTCAACTCACACTGGCCACATACACACTACACACTTTAGAGAGTGACAACCACATTTAAACAACAGGAGGGTGAGTAAATGATGTCAGAATTAACATTTGTGGGTGGATTATCCCTTCAAGTATACATCACTAAATTATCACACGTTTATGAGTTACTCTCAAAACTGCAATGATTGACAGAGTGAAAATCATAGCAAAGTTTTGGTGTTTGCAGTTGTAAATAAGTAATATTGTCAATTAAAGACATTATGTCCATCAATATTGCTGTGATGACTTACTATACGTGTCTTGAGGCTTGTTTTTCCACAGAGTTGCTTATAAATATAGGCAGTAGCAGGTTGCAATTTTTTTCAAATCTTATTTTTAGAATACAGTTGTGTATTTTGGCTTATTTAACTGAGGCACATTGCTTATTTTGGGCTTCTTTTACTTCTTCTTCCAGACCTAATTACTGATTATCTAGAAGAGGGGTTTGCAAACTTTTTAAAGCCAACAACCACTAAAAGATATGTTGCCCTCAGGGAACATTTCCTAAAATATAAAAGTAGCTATATATTTTTATTTATAAAGAGCTGTTTATACTGTGTGAGACAAAATGCTTTATATAAAGGCAACATGTTGTTTCCAAAATTAAATTATTGACTTTTGTATAGTTACTCTATTGAAGCCAATGCAAATTACTAAAATATGATCTAGAAAATATTGACTTTGTATTAAGTTCAACCCATTATTATGTAATATTAGATGCATAAACCTGAAGAGAAACAATTCAATTGTATTTTTATAGTGTTTCTTACAATGAATATTGTTCTAGAGGATTTACAGTTTTCTAATTTACAGTTAACTGTGACCGCTTTGAAATGCATTTTGTATTTCTCATTTGCATTTTTTACCCGCTCAGATTTTCTATGGACCCCCTAAAACACTCTTGCAGCCATCTGGGGGACTCCAGAAACAATCTGAATACCCTTGTCCTAGCGAGATCAGTCTGTTTAGTCCACAGTATATGGAGCGTCCCTTGCAACTACTTCCATCAAAATATGCAAATGACACAGTGTGTAAATGGCCATTGCTATTAAATTAGTTTTAATATTTGTGCAGACAAAAGAAAATCTGCTTTAAATAATGCATGAACAATCAAACAAAAAAAATTACCTTCAAGGCTATCCATGTTAGCTTGCAAAGGGAAAAAAAAAAAAGATTTGTCATGAATTGGGAACTGTGTGTCCTTACACTAAGAGCTCTTCAAAAGCTTTTAAACAACAATTCCCACAACAGCAGGCCTTATAATTGACTCAGGTGCATTTGCTGGAGCTTGACGTATTAATCAGACATCCAGCAAAGGTTGGCAAAGTCAATGTCAGAGCATCTTAAAGGATTACCTGCTTGTACTTCCTGTAACAGCGCTGAATGACAGCGGTGGCTACTTCCTGTTGCTCGCGCAGTGGGCGTCCCTGCAAAGAGAGAGGGAAACGGGTTGGTCTGAGGAGTGGGCAACACTTGGGAGACGCCCACTAGGCTCTTCACTTACAGGACAATGAAAGTGATAGAGAAAAGACGCCCTTCTCGCTTAACTGCAGCTGGTGCTGAGAGAGCAGACGCCTCTGAGCACAAGCCGCCAGTCTGGCCAGCTGGTGAGTCTTTGTGGAAACTCATTACAGGCAGCCACAGGAGGCAACAATCGCTCTTTACAATAAGCCAGGCCATGCGCTGGTTAAGCCACCTTACCCATGCTGAAGCTGTGGGGACTGACTACTCTGTGCCTGTGTGTCTATGAACTCATAAGGAAGGACAAAGCAGGAAGGAGACAGAGGGTGTCCTGTGTTTGTTCCTACCAATACCTGCGCACAGATGTTTACATCCTGTCTCTATTCACACATCAACACAAGCGCGTGGCACCCGAGCCTCTGGCCTGTACCTTGTACTTGCGGAAAGCGGTCTGCACCAGCCGTGCGGCTTCGTAGAGCTCCCTCTGCTCAGGGTCGGACAGCGTGAGCTGGGCTAGCTCTCTCTCCACTTTGCTGTTGGAGGCTCTGAGAAACTCACTCCACTCGGACGGAGCAGGCAAGGTCGGCTTCTCAAACTGACCCTCACACATGGGTGAGTTACCCGGGCTCAGGATAGGGTTGGAGGGAGGGGTCAGGGGTTCACTGTATATGGGACTGCTCAAAGAAAAACAAAACACACACACATACATACATGGAGTTAGCAGGGTCTAGGCATACATTTTGTTTTTCCTTAAGCACATCATCGCCAGGCTGGGAAATTAAAAGCGCAGCAGGTTGACTTTACTTTGACATTTGTGCAATTACCAAAATTTTTGGCTGCTGATCAAAAATGTACTTTGATGATAAAATCAGTACATAAACACGCCTGAATGTTCGTAGATATTTAGTATTATAGTTTAGAGAAAAACGTTATATGTTGCAAAAATTATATTTAAACTACTGTTCAAATGTTTGAGGCCTGGTAGGCTTTTTTTGAAAGAAGTCTCTTATGCTCACCAGGGCTGAATTCATTTGATAAAAAAAGAAAGAAAGAAAGAAAGAAAGAAAGAAAAAACCCCAAATAAAAACAAATTTGAAATAACTTTTTTCTATTTTACTATATTTTAAAATGTAATTCCTGAATTTTCAGCAGTCATCATGACTACAGTCTTAAGTGTCACATGGGATTCAGAAATATCTAAAGATTTTAATATGCTGATTTGAAGCTCAATAAACAGTTCTTATTATTATCAATGCTGAAAACATATTAGCATTGTTGAAAACATTAACTGCGCTGCTTAATATTTTAGTGAAAACCGTGATACGTTTTTTCAGTGCTCTTTGATGAATAGAGTTCAAAAAGATTAAAAAGATTAGAATATTTGTATATATTTATTATTTAATTATTTTTGTTATGTTCTGATTCTGTCATTAATTCTTTAAAAGTTCTTTATTTCTTTTTAGATTTTTCAAAAAGAGTTAGAACCACATCTACATTGTTCACGTTTTGGTTAATGCTTAACAATATTAATGCTTCATGTATTTGTTCACATACACAGCGAGTTGTTTTATTATTATTTTTGAATGGAAAAATTCAAACATTTTTTGAATATTCAAAAAACTTTTTTCAAATCATATTTTTCGAATTGACAAAAGAGTGGCTAGTACATTCACCAGCATTCACCAGCCACTGTGGCTGGTGGGCAAAAAAGTTAATTTCCCCCCTGATTGCTGCATATTATATGCATATGTATATTAAAGTAATGACAAACACTAACCTCAAGTGGATGATGCTGGGCAAGTGTTCCACGTCTCCCAGGTAACTGGCTAGCCAGCTCATGGTGTTGGTGAGCCCACTGTTGTCCAGAGGAACAGACTCCACGGTTGGTAAATGTTCCCGCTTGATACGCTCCGGAGTGGCCTCAATGATGTGCTCTGCCAGGCTCATCATATTCGCCTGCGAGGTGCACAAACACATGCATTCAGTGTTAAACAAGCACAGACTTTCTGTTGTGACAAAATGCACACGTACACTTGCTAACCCAACAGATCAATCAAGTGCCGGGGTGTTTACTTTGGAGGAACACACTGCTACAGCCCCTCTATCCCCATAGAGTGACAGAGATGAATGAGGCTGGACTAACTCCTGGCGATGGGAGCAAATCAATGGCAGAAGTGTATTATGTGGTGACGAAAGTCTGGACAGAGAGCAGGGCCGCAACCGCCGCTCTCTAGCGCTGATTTCACATGCCAGCAGGACGGATGGTGCTCTATATCTCCCTTGGCCTCTCTACGCTTGTAGCTGTGTTTGTTTGCAGAGTCTATTTCTGACAAATGAATCAGTACAGGTGTAAATGAGGCTGGCTGACTGTGAGTGAGTGCCATTAAGGGCACCGTGCGCATTTGTTTATGTGCAGTTCTCTCACCTGTAGGTCTTCCATGTGCGAGAGGCAGTCCTGGTTCTCTAGATCCTCCTTGTAAGAAAGTATCTCAGTGTCTACCATCTCTCTCTCCACCATTCCCAGCATGCTGAGGGATTCGCCACGCTGTCGCAACCGGCTGGCCAACTTCTCCTTCCCTACCCCACTGATGCCCCCCTTCCTGGGCACTTCTCTAGTGCCCCATTTATGCCCTCCGCGGTAAGAGGCCATCTTGGCTTGCGGGATACCCACTGTCCCCAAACCCTCCTCTGAGACGCTCTTATCCGGGCTGGGTGGGGTGGAAGGAAGGGTCTTAGGGCTGGTTGACAGTTTATGTGTCTGCTGCTCCATGTTCAAGGGAACCGACATGGGTTTATCCAGCTGTGCTTGCACGAGCTCGGGGTTGGGCTTGTGTTTTTTGGCGAGGGGGATGTCCCGCTGGCACTCGTTGCTGTAATAGCTGGAGGGCTCTGATCTCGGTCTTCTCAAATCTAGGCACAAAAGAGAAAGAAAGAGTGAGCTGCATTCAGAGCAGAGGATGGATATGATATTTCCATTACATTTGCTCTGTCTCTTAGGTGCTATTAGTGATAATCTAAACAAAGACAGTTGGAATTAGATTGTGCAGCAAGTACTGCTTGTTGAAGCGAATGTAATAAGGTATTACATTAAGCAAGCAAATCTGCTATAATCTTTTTAGTAAAGCAATAGTAGTTCATCTTTTTTCTAAATAGTGCAGCTTTTCCAGTAATGAGCAACATGCAGCAGTTTTTCAACATGCAGCCTTTACAACTTAGTGAGCTCTCCTAAAACGCCCCCTATCTGTCTCATATGTAGTGCTGGAAAGTCTGATTCATTGTAGCGAATTAGTTCTTTCAGATGGTGTGTAAATGAACTAGTTCAAAAAGATATGTGCAGACGTCCCTGAAGTTTCTCATCTTTTCGATAGCAAAGTATTGGTTAAATGCTGTTTTTCACTAATGTTTTGTTTCTGATATATTACTTTTCTTGTTATCTGTTAACATTTAATGTTGTCAAGATTCGTTCATTCTCAGTAAAGACATTTAGAATGTCACAGAAGATTTCAAATAAATGCTTTTAAACTTTCTATTAAAATAATGCATCATGGTTTCTAAAGAGATATTAAGCAGCAAAAATTGTTTGCAAAAATTACAATATGAAATGTTTCTTGAGTTCCAAATCAGCATATTAGAATGATTTCTCACAGTTATTTTAAATTGTAATAATATTTCACAATATTGCTGTTTTACTGTTTACATGAGTTGAAGGTAGCCATTGCTTTCCATAATATTTTTTTTCTATACTATTGATGTCAATGGCTACCGTCAAATGTTTGGTTACCAACATTCTTTAAAATATCTTCTTTTTGTGCTAACAGAAGAAACAAAACTACAGGTTTGGAACAACTTGAGGGTGAGTAAATGATGACAGAATTGTAATTTTTGGGTGAACTATCCCTTTAAATAGCTTTCATGTATTTAGCAACTTTTTGTTAGCAGCTTGTAGAGTAGCTAACTACTTTAGAGGTTCTCACCAGGGTTCTGGTTGGTGCAAGGGATTGTAGTAGTGGTGGCTGTACCAGTGTTCTGCCCGCAGGGGGCCACCATACTGTCACTGCTCCAGCTGACCATCCAGCTGTTGGAGGTGGGGATGTCGGGGTTGGGAGAGAAAGACATGCTAGAGGTGGGGGGTAAAGAGGATGGGGTCTGCTGCTGCTGCTGTTCCTCCCTCTGGAGCTGCTCCAGACATTCTGCCAGCTTGGTGTGGCCACGGGAGCGGGCGATGGAGAGGGGCAGGCGCCCTAGAGAGTCTGGGATGGCCAGTGCTCTCCGGTCCCACTTGTACAAGACCACAGCTGCCTCTAGGTGACCCAATGCACAAGCCCACATCTACAACAAAGAAACAAAGAAAAATTGGTGTGGGAAAAGCAAGAAAGGTACTGTTTATTGACCAAATTTGGTCAAAGTTCAATTAGAATTGCTTAAGGAACACACCAGTGGAGTACAAGAGAAGTGATCCACGTTGAGAGGGTCCACCTCAAGTTCCAGATCAATGCTGTCTGCATGCTTCGTGCTGCATAAGACAACAAATACCATTTCTCATAGTTAGCAATCAGCACAAAGTCAGCTAAAACATATTTACACATAGATGTAGACAGATCTAAATGCTCTTAACCTACCGCCATTTGATGAGAGTCTGGATGAGGGTGGCGTAGCCTTGGCCTGCAGCAAGGTGTAGCAAGGTCATGCCCCGGAAGGTCTTGGAGTGAATCAGATGTTTAGATTTGGCCCAGCAGGCTCTGTTCATCATCTTCTCACAAACAACAACCACACGACTCTCAAAAGAGCTTCCTGCTTGTCCCGAGATACACTGCAGAAGAAAATGGAGGGCCTGACATCTTCACAAACTCAATGAACTGTCACAATCCACTACTTTCTGCAATAATCATTATGGCTCAAACTGCAAGCTATAACTCACGAGTAGAAAAGCTGCAGCAATATACAATTTGTGAACAAACTGTCTCAATGAATTGGTTCAACTGGCTCACAAAAGCAGTGTTAATAAACACCATGTTATTAAAATAAGTAAACCTTTCAGCCAAGTGATGTAACTGAATTTTAGTATTGTTTATTGTAAATGCAATTTACCTTTAGGTTCTTAATGGCTGTTTTTGTATGATTTCTGAAGGATCATGTGACACTAAAGATGTTTGCAAAATGCATACTAATAACAAAATGAAAATTCAGTTTTGTTTTAAAATGCATTCTAATCTCACACATAATTACTGATGTGCTGCTATACCTGAGACTGGCTATTAGAGCCTCCGTTTCCTCCTCCTCCTCCCCCTCCAGTCCCTGCTGTTCCTCCGCTGCCCTGCTGCTGCTGACCAGCCATCTCAGCCATCCTGCGCTCCATCTGTTCCAGCCGCTCCAGGATGGACATTCTGAACTGGTTATCTGCAGAAGAACATTAATATCAGTTTAATCACAGTAGTTCACAAAATTGGGTTCCAACTTTAGTTTAACACTCAAATTAGCTACTAAATGTACAATTAAAAGAAAATGGTTGCTGTAAATTGCACTATATCTCACGGAGGTCTGAAATAAATTCTTCTTTGGTTTAGCTCACATCCCCAAGCAAAATTTTATATTGGATGTTTAATTAAACTCAGTCATTACCCTTATGGTATCCAATCAAGACTCAGAGTCTGATGTTATCAATCACCATTTCCGTAATTGCAGTCATTATTATAAATTAATGGAATCATTAATGAGGCACATCAACACATTCAGCTTCGGAAACAGTGGTGAACATACACATACAGTAAATTATTTAGCATTTGTATTTCAGAACTAGATTTTTACATTTGCCACAAGTGCAAAACTCACTACCAAGAGTAGTGAGTGCCCACTGCTATATGGCAAGAGTGCCCATTGCTATATGGTTGCTATGGTGTTCTGAACGGCTGTTAGGTTGCAGGATGAGTTAAATGCTTACAAAGTTACTTTTGTAACCCAAATCCAGACAGAGACAGAAATATCAAGCTGGCTCCCTAACTGAACTTTTGACACTAAACATATAGTAAAGTACTGGGACCAGCACAGGTGAGCTATAGCACCAGTACTCACAACTGTGTGTGCCTCGCAGTGATAAGCCTGTTTCTGTGGCAACCTGCTGCTGCACGGTAACCAAGCGACAGGGGCATGCTGGGCTGCGGTTTGCTCTGGTGTCAGTTTATTGATGAATGGAAAGACACATTGAGAGATGGCAAAAGTGCAAGAAGGTAAAAATCAAATCTGTATTGCCTGTGCTCCCTAGAAAAAAAGTAATATATTTAAAATACATTTATTTCATACTAAGTATAGTTCAAATCTATTACCATATTTACTGACATATCGCTTGAGACTTGTCAGTAAATATAAAAATCTGGTGATATAAAAATTATAATTTAACTACTCACATTTCTTAATATTAAGCCTAAAATGTGTTTTAAGGCCGGTTCACACCAAGAACGATAACTATAAACATAACTATATTAGCGTCCACACCAGCGGACAATATCGTCTGTTTATTCTAAGCGCACGCTTGTCTGCCGCTTTAAATTCGCGAGCTTGTTATGGATTCTGATTGGGTGTCAATGTTTGTATCGTTCATCAGCTGGAAAAAATCGTTCTGAAAGTGATTCCAACGATATTGTTTCTCTGTGCCTTTATCGTTATAGCTGTGGTGTGGACTCTGCTATTCTTTAATATTGAGAACGATTTTTGGAACTATATCTTAAAGTTTATCGTTATGTTTAGTTATCGTCCTTGGTGTAAACGGGCCTTTAATGTCACTATTGATAAGGATTGTATGATTTTTGAATAATATCGGTCTTTAAATGTGAGATATTTAAAGTGAAGTGTACCTGAAGCATATTTGCAATAGTTCCACTTTAGTACAATCAAATATACGTCAGTATATCTTTAGTTGGACTTCAGCACTACTTCCACACAATTACAGTGTATTAAGTACAAAATTAGTTGTTCCAATTTAACATACTTTGGGCCAGATTTACTATCAGCTTGTGCCAGCGCAAACCCTCATTTGGCATTAAAAACTACTGTCAGGATTTACTAAAGACACGCAGTGGGAAATTAGCGCTAAAAAGGTGTGGACACAGTTATTTTTGAGACCTTATTGAATATGCATTTGTAGGAGTTTATCTTTCGATCGGTACATTTCTGGGAGGAGAGTATTTAAATGAATCACGCAACATGATATATGAAGATTTGCGCTTGTCAATTCACTGGTATTTGCGGCATTTTTTAACAGCCAAAAAAAGCATGTCTTAAAGCAGGTGGTAATTTACGCTGCTCTTGGTAGATTGCGCTGGTCATTATGTAAATGAGATGTTGCATCTGTGCTCTTTAATGTGCACCTTGTCAGTAAATCACCCACAGAATTTTTCCCTCCCATCGGCGCTTTTATGGAATTGTGCTAATTTGCACTAATTTGCCCTGTTTAGTAAATCTGGCCCCAAAAGTACAAATGCAGAGTATTTTTATTAAGTACATAAATATGTAAATGTATTTGTAGTTTATTTTTCACTAGGTCTAACATACTAGTAAACAACATTTGTGTCTTTTGCACTAAACATATATATTTGTTTAATCCAGAGGGCTATGAATGTCACAAAGCAGGCAGGTATTGTTTGGTGAAAATGTCAGGAGTGGTGTTCAGAGGTCATGTACATAAACTGACACTGTTTGACAACTCAGTAAGAGTCTGGCTGCCTAAAGGACACCAGTCATTGATAGCGACAGGTCACAGAGTTTTATACTGAACGTTAAACTCAAGCAACATATGTGACCCTGGACCACAAAACCAGTCATAAGGGTCAATTTTTCGAAATTGAGATGTATACATCATCTGAAAGCTGAATAAATAAGCTTTCCATTGATGTATGGTTTGTTAGGATAGGCATATTTGGCCGATGTAACTGTCAACAGACATGTTTTCAAAGAGATGTGGATATTTATTTTTTCTGTTAAAAAATTAATGTCAATTTGAGTGCATTTATTGTTTAAAAATATTTGACTAAAATGTATGTACGTGATATTCAAGTTAATAAGTAGAGAATGTATTCCCTTAAAATGTTTAAAGTTAGGGGTTCTTTAAGAAGAGTTACTACTGAAGCGTAACAGGTCACATGACCAGGTTGAGTTGAACGCGGGACCGTTGCATTATGGGTTGAAGTAACATGGATGCAGAGAAACGCTAATGGTATGCAGAGCCTGAAAAAGAGTACCTTTATCTGCATGGTATAAGAGGGCGCACACGGTAATTAATCTTTAAATCTGTTGCATTTTGTGTATAGTGTTGTTCTATATCAGTTTACGTAAACAATGTTGTGTAAATAGCGATGTCATTGGATTCTGATTTTTTGCATGTGTTCACTTGTGTATCAGCGGACATTTACATGAGAGACTTGAAAAGGACTCAACCTAAATGCATATTTTGAACATTATATGCTTTATTTCTTGTAGTTTTCACGGTGTCTGCTGAAAAGAGACAGCCACGCTTCATACAGATGTCTTTTTGCTGTTTATTGGTCTCTCTGTCTCTGTACCTTTTCAGCAGACACCGTGAAAACTACAAGAAATAAAGCATATAATGTTCAAAATATGCATTTAGGTTGAGTCCTTTTCAAGTCTCTCATGTAAATGTCCGCTGATACACAAATGCAACAGATTTAAAGATTAATTACCGTGTGCGCCCTCTTAGACCATGCAGATAAAGGTACTCTTTTTCAGGCTCTGCATACCATTAGTTTCTCTGCATCCATGTTACTTCAACCCATAATGCAACGGTCCCGCGTTCAACTCAACCTGGTCATGTGACCTGTTACGCTTCAATAGTAACTTCTTAAAGAACCCCTAAATTTAAACATTTTAAGGGAATACATTCTCTACTTATTAACTTGAATATCACGTACATACATTTTAGTCAAATATTTTTAAACAATAAATGAACTCAAATTGACATCAATTTTTAACAGAAACATAAATATGCACATCTCTTTGAAAACATGTCTGTTGACAGTTACAGCAGTCATATATATATGTTACTTTAGGCCAGCGGTTCCCAAACTGGAGTGCGCGCACCCCTAGGGGTGCACAGACCGACCAGCAGGGGTGCGCGAGAGAATGCTTT